ACAGCTTCATCTTCACACGACCCCGATGACCATGATCTGACTGCGTTCTCGTCCCGATGAAGGTCTTCCGCTTACTCAACCACCCCGTCAAAAACACCCACGATGCCAACTCCTGCCAGATTGTCCTCAACAGGAAGTCAGGTGGGAAATACTCGTTACATTTCTGCATGTTCTTCTTTCATCCTATGCACATTAAATATGGCATGGCAACAGAAGCTCAAATGCACGTGCAAGAACCAAAGTTTGTTTTCGTGCATCAAGCACATGCGTTCAGCTTCAGGTGTAACTTGTCTGGCTTTTGAGGGCCCTGTTCTGGTGTTTGTGTGCAGATATCTACGTGTGTTTGCTGTCCTTCACTCGTAATGTGGCAGCGGAAGGCAAGTACATTGATGTGGTCAGCACGATGGTGGAAACCTGCAACCCGGAGAAGGAGGTCCAGCCCGGCCTGGCCCTGCTGGAGCCCATCATGGAGAAGTGAGCAGCAAACATGACAAAGTTTCTCGTAGTCAGTATGTTGTGGATCCATCCAAATAAAGTGTTAGAAGATATCAAGCAGACAGTCTACTAATACTCTAACGACTGCTAGTTGACATGTAGTTGCAAAGTTACTTACAGTTAGTAGAATGTCTAAAGTGGACTATCGAAATAAAGTGTTACCGATTTAGTTGTTGTTGTTGATGCTTGCTAAATATGATCTGATTCCAAAGAGCAGAAGAATGGGATTTGCACTGGCAGTCTTGTGTTGTGTGATGATTGTGTGCTAGATGATAGTGCTGTGTATGTGGCGCTAATAAAGACGTGCACGCAATGAGGAGTGTGTGTTTGTGTCTGATCACACATGAGCGCAGAGGACAGAGAGATCCAGACAGATGTGTGTTAATACCTCTAATCTGTGTTTATTCACTCTCCACTCACACACACTACAGTCAGAGATCACGTGACACACTGTACTGAGAAAACATGGCTTCCCAGAGTCCTGTTCTCTGTTATTCGGCCGCAGGAGGAGGGATCAGGCCTGCCGCGGCTAACCGTCTCTCGCTGGACAGGAAGTTGAACGTCGCACATGCGTTAGGCTGCGAGGAGAAACGTTTCACTATTAAACTGCTGTAACGTGTGGGTTTATTCCAGACGAGCGCAGAGATGTGTTTACCGTGTCCTGAACCTCCACAGCGATGCCCTTCTTCTTCAGGAAGTCCAGCACGTTTGGATCCAGACGCTCCGTACGAGCCCCCGTCCCCAGAACCAGAATCTCTGCAAGACCACCGGCAGCCCGGGTTACTAACATAACTAAGACCACCAAAAATCATTATAATGTGGATTTTATTTCAGCTAGTTGCCAAGGCAACATTTCTTGTCTTCATTAAGTATTAAAATCACTGAAATTAAATAAACTAAGACTTCATTAAACATTTTATACACATTTAAAACAAAAAATAATACAAATGACAAAAACAACAAAATTACTAAAACGTTAAAACAGAATATATAAAAATGAAATCTAATTTAAAATATTAACAAAAACTATAATAGTATATCAATTGTACTAAAATAACACTGCCATCATCGCACGTCATTGCTTGGGGTTATAGTTCACTAAAACCATTAAAAAAACATTCTCATAAAACACATCAACTGAAATAAATATTAAAAAAACTTAAACTTATTTTATTTCAGCTAGTTGCCAAGGCAGCATCTCATTGTCATTTAGTTTAACGTGCTATACTGAAATAACTAAAACTTATTTTAGTTTGAAATTAAAATGAATAAAATCTGTATAGAATTAAAAAAAAAAAAACAATGACAAAAAGCACAATGAAATTACTAAAATTAAAAAAAAGAAAAAAGAAAACAGAAAACATAAAAATACAAACTAATTCAGAGTATTAATAAAAATGTATACATACTAAAATCTAAAATAAAACTGCACTGCATACTGACTACTAGGGCTGCACGATTAATCGCATGCGATATTTAACGCGCATCTTATCAGTAAAGCCGGTTCTGTAATCAGCGGTAAATCTCCATCACCTGCGTGCTTTCACATTGAGCAGCATTAACTACACAGAGCCGTTGTTCACCATCACGTGCGTGCTTTCACATTGAGCAGCATTAACTACACAGAGCCGTTGTTCACTGACGAGCACGCAGGTGATGGAGATTTACCGCTAATTACAGAACCGGCTTTCTGACAAGATGCGCATTAAATATCGCATGCGATTAATCGTGCAGCCCTACTGACTACGATACATTATCACATGACCTCGTTACGGTTATTAATGAATAAAGTTCAGGAATAAAGTCCTGAAGAAAATAATGACTAAGATTGCACATCTGGACAAATGCAGTAGATCTGTGTTTAGTGCATACTATGAACACTGCAGAAGCTGAAGTATTTAGTACTGTAGTGTTTACTGTAGTAAGTGTTTAATCACCAATGCGTGGCTCCAGAAGGTAAAACAGAGACAAACTCTCCACCGTGATGTCCGTGTGATGGCCCACCTGCAACAACACACACACACAGTGAACACTCACACACACACACACACACACACAGTGAGCGCGCA